GGCAAGAGTATCACGCATATCAGAACAAATCATATTCTGTTTTGTTCTCATTTCATTGTTGCGAGCCTGAAAGCCAAAAATAGCTTTATTGTTAGAGTCACTACTTTCATCAACAAATATTTCTTCATTAAATATCTCTTGGTCGCCAATGTTAGTAAACAAAGGATTAAAGAAATCAGACCAACTGTTTTTAATGAACTGTCTGTTAATACCTTGTGCATAATTTGCCATAGGCTTAATAAAGAAAAGGCCAAAAATATAGCCATGTTCTTTAACATGGAAAGTACAAACTCTACCACCGGAAGACTTAGAGGCAGAACCGTATCGAGTACCGATAGGAGTAGGATTTTCTGTATCTGTATCGCCAGCAGTCTGCATAACAGTATTAGAAACAATGTGAGTTTTTGTTGAACCTAAATAGATAGGTTCTTGAACTCTATCATCGTTAAGGTGAACACCGTACTGTGCCTGTAAATATTCAGTATAACGCAAACCGGAAACATTTACCAATTCTTTCCAATGTTGTAACTGTTTAGCAAGACGTAAATCCGAAATATCAAAAGTACCAGCGCGACTTAAATCTGCTACTAACTGTCTAGGCATTTGCCTATTTGCAAACAATTCTTTTGAATATTTCAAAGTATTGCCTGTATGTTCAAATACATCAGAATCATTAACTCCGAAAATACCAAGATAAGAACTAAGGTCACCGCCAAACTGATTAGCAAGACCAACGGCACCGCCTAAATAAGTAGACACATAAGTAGACGGATTTTGTGAATCGTAACGCGAATCAGGCATAGCACCGATAAAAGATGGAGTTGGAACACCGTTTTTCCACATACCGCCAACAATAGCACCTTCAAAATCGTTAGGCTTATTACCGTTATTATAACCATTTCCAGCAAAAAAAGCAGAATTGAGACTAGGAGTAGATGTAGCAGTTTCAACAAAAGTTGTAGCGGAAACACCGTGGCCGTAACTAGCCGGAGAATCCAAACTATTAGTTAAAATAACTGTATTACCACCGGATTCAAAAATACCTTCCTGTGTACGCTGGTGCTGACCTACAGAATCTCCCATAGTACCTTTAAGAACCGGAGTAGGACTAATATATTCTGCAAGACCTGAACCGGTCTGACGCAAAAAGTCAGTGATAGGGGCAAAGCCTGAAAGCGGCAGTGCAACAGGGTCACCAAACTGTGCAGAAAGGTTAGCAGATGTAAAATAGTCTTTTTCCCAACGAACACGGAAAAGTGATTCATCAGTCAAATCTCTAGGTTTATCAAGTTTTTCATCACGGAAATAATGATTGAAAATCATGTTAAGACCACGTCTAGGAAAGTCAACCGGAGCAGAATCTTTAGGATATTTACCAACATAACCAAGAATAAAATCTCCAATAGAGTTTTTTTCAATAGTATGTGTAGTAGTATCATCAGAATCTGTCCAATGAGGAATACAAATATTATCAGAATCCTTAAGTGGACGTGCAAGACCTGTAACAGGGTCAGAAATACACTGTTTAAGAAAGTTTTCCCATTTATCCCAAGTAATTCTATTTGGAACAAAGAAATAATAACATTTTGCGACAACATCGTCCATAAAAGGAGCGACCATAGGAGCAAACTGAACATTGAAAAGATTAGAAATCTTGACAATATCACCGGGGACAAACTCGTCACACATTACCGGATAACATACACCAAGTTTACCGCTAAACTTTTTGTCATACGACAAATTGTGTTTACTACGTCTTATTTTCGCAGTAGGAACACCTAAAGGCATCATAAATAAAACCTCCAAAAATAAAATATTCCCCCTTGAATAAGGGGGCAATTTTTTTTACTTAAGTACAATACAAAAACCGGAAACAAGAAACATATCAAACTTGTCAACCTTTTTTCTTACTCATTAAAAAAGCTCCTTAGAATCATCAGCAGATTCTTTAATAGATTTTAAATCATCATTACAAACAAAATAAGGTTTAAAAACAACATATTCAACAACACCAAAACAAACAGAACCATAACCAACTTTAGAATCATTTTCAAAAACAAGGAGATAAAGTCCATTACCAATATTACGAAGTGTAAAATCAGAATGAACAGAACCGTCTTTAATATAAGTCCAAAGTGCGTTCAAATGTGTTTTAGAGGTTAATGGAATAGTGCCTGGAACAAATTCCAAATTAGATAACCAAGTCCGCAAAAAATTATTAGTGGGTAAAATGCTTGAATCATTCATTTGTCACCTCTTCATCAACAGAATTAGAAATAGATTGAGAACAAACAAGAATTGCTCTCTGTGGGTTAATCTGTAAAACGTTATCATCACGGCAAAGTTCAGCTACACGATACAATTCAAAATCGTCAGGGTCAAACATATGGTCGTCCTGATGTTTTTTAGTCTGTGCGTCAATAAAAGAGTTATACCAACGGCAAGCAATTTTGTCGTTTGACATTTCCAACAAATCGCCATAATTCTGTGTAACTTTGTTATAAAGTGAATAAACTTTAGAAATCATTTTTTCAAACCTCTTAATAAATCAATATCACGTTGTGAACGTGCATTTACTGTTAAACTTTCATAAAGTGAATCAAAACTACCTAAACTCATACCGATATGGAATAACATTTCATCAGTCAAAGTAGGGTCAAGTGTCTTAATATCCTCAATCCGTTGCAAAAACAACTTGCGTTTAGTGTCATTTTTGACAGATTCCAATTCCGGAAATTTCTTATAATAATAAGAAGGAATCGGGACAGAAAAGCCATTAAAAGCAATAGAGCCATTAGATAACATCTGTTTAAGTAATGTCGGGTTACCTTTAACACCTTTAAAACCAATTCCGTTAGAAACACGTTGAAAAGGCGGAAGAAGATTCAATTTTGCATATTTCTTTTCGTCCTTTAATTTCTTTTGAACGTAGCCACAAACATACATGATAGAACCAACTTCAACCTGTTCATACGCACCAAGGTCAAATTGATTGGGTTGACAAAGTCGCCAACTATCAATTACAGTTTCCTTGTCTAATTTACTAAAAGGGTCAAGACCAAAAACAATAGCGTGGAAGTGTGGCCTAAGTCGCTCATCGCCATATTCTGCCGACGCGAAGTAGGATATTTTCCGACCATTGAGATTTTTTCTCAACCGTTTCCAAAACTTTGTTAAATCCGAAGGTTGCAAGTTTCCGTCTTTGGGCAAATGTTCGTCATCATACGTCAGTGTTAAAAAAACCGCTTTATTATCCCAAAAGCTTAAATCATGCAATATCCGGATAGTCCAAGAAAGTGTGTTACTTTTTTTACAAGCTAAACAGCGGCGGCAAGCAAAATAATGTGTTACACCTTCCAACTTTACAGATACAGGCCTTGTACAGACCAACTAAGAAAGCCGAATACCGTTCCGGCTAAGAGCAAGAAATGTGGCTCGTTTACGATGTCTACTCAACTAATCCTCCGAATTATCTATTTTTTCGCTAAGAGCGTTAATACAAACGCTAACAAGACTTGAAATACAACCAAGAACCAACTTAACAACAACCTTGAGAGTTTCACTCATAAAACACCACCTTGGAATAAATATTATCAGGAAGAAAATAAAAAATCCGCTGCAAAGTTTTCATTTAACCTCCTGATAATCCAAAAATAAACCATAAATAAAAGATTGTCAATACTTTTTTTTATTTTTTTCTAAAAAAGTTTACAACTTTTTTTACGCGTTCCTTGTCCTGTCTATAGGCCTCTTTGAAGTAATTACCAGCAGACTGAATAGCGGCATTAAAATCGCCAGCAGTTTTACCAATAAAAGAGCTATTAGAAGATGTAGCAGTATTAATCTTTCTGTTAAGTTCGTACCACTTTTCTTTTATATCAGCCTCAAGTTTATCATTTGACAACTGTAATGACTTAATCCTAGTTTCATAGGTATTTTGCATTTGATAAAGTTCTTCCAAAGCTTTTGCAGTCTGTGCCTTAGTACTCTGTGTGTCAGCCAAAACTTTTTCACACTGTGCAACAAGTACGTTACAATTTTCTGTAATTTCAGCAATGCGAGCTTCATTCAAAGCAATAGACGAGGCATTACCGGATTGCAACCGTGATTCAGCCTGACGTTTCAAAGCCATGTCTAAATCGTCCATAGTTTCAGAAAAATCAAGATGTTCAGTAAGCCTGTTAATATTACTTGTATTAGCGTTGATGTTATCGATACGCGCCTGTTGTTCCTGTGCGTCTAGAAAAAATTGAGGCAGAGAGCCCACTATAGCGCCAAGGTTGCTCTGATATTCACTGTATGGAGCTTTTACATTACCAAGGTCAGAACTGTTGAATGTAGCCGTTTGTGAACCGCCAGAGCCTAAAGCAAGAGCTGGACTTAACCCGGCGGCTTTAAGGTCTTTGACCAAACGCTGATAAGCAGTGTCCTCTCTCTGCATAGTCAATTCATTAAGCTCTTTCTGATAATCAAAAGATTCGCGAGCAAGAGCCAAGTTCATTGCGTTGGCCTCTTTCTGAAATGCAATATTCGCATTGTTACGACTTTCCGCAGCGTCATTCTGCATTTTAATTCCAACAAGTGAAGAAATAGGACTTGCAATATCACCAAGTAAACCCATAAAAAAATCCCCCTTAAAATAAAATAGTGTCATTTGTGCATTGTATATCAAGAAGAACCAATGCACAAATGACTTCAAAAAAAATCCGCCGAAAATGGCGGAAATTTTTTTCCACACAATGTGGAAAACTTGTGCAAAACTTTCGCACACGCGCGTTTTTATAGGCGCGCGCGCGCGGAGTTTAACACAGGTTTTCCACAATGTTTTTAATCAGCCTTTTTATCAGGCTGATTTTTCATTTTTTTAGCGTGTGCAGTATAATCTATAGCTTGCTGCTCTACTGCAAGATGGTCATTGATGTTTTTAACTGCCTCACGTTCGATAATTTCAGTACGTTCTTTAACAGTATCATGAATATCGAGTTTATCCGCGTAAATAACATTTGTACGACCATTAGAGGCAATATCGTTTGCAACCTGTGGAACAATTTCATTGCCGTTACTATCTACCTGTGTAACAACATCGAAAAGTGAATCATCACCAAAGTTCATAAGCTGCGCGCGCATTTCTGAATTATTGCGTGAGGCTTTTTCCAAAGCCATACAACGTTTATCGGTGCTAACATAGGTAGTAACATCGACATTATAAGCGCCGCCACCTTTTTCAAAGGTGACAGGGGCGGGCGAATTGGGTTTATGAAACATAAAAACCTCCTAAAGTGTTGGTACGGCCAAAGCCGGAATCGGACGAATAGCAGTTACAATATTGCCAAACTGACAAATAAAATGAGGTTCTTCCGGAGCGGCAAAAACTCGAGAATCCGGATTACACTCAATAAACTGACTATTAAGGTTAGGGCATTCACTAAAGAAACGAGTAAAATGATAATGGGCAAGAGTATCACGCATATCAGAACAAATCATATTCTGTTTTGTTCTCATTTCATTGTTGCGAGCCTGAAAGCCAAAAATAGCTTTATTGTTAGAGTCACTACTTTCATCAACAAATATTTCTTCATTAAATATCTCTTGGTCGCCAATGTTAGTAAACAAAGGATTAAAGAAATCAGACCAACTGTTTTTAATGAACTGTCTGTTAATACCTTGTGCATAATTTGCCATAGGCTTAATAAAGAAAAGGCCAAAAATATAGCCATGTTCTTTAACATGGAAAGTACAAACTCTACCACCGGAAGACTTAGAGGCAGAACCGTATCGAGTACCGATAGGAGTAGGATTTTCTGTATCTGTATCGCCAGCAGTCTGCATAACAGTATTAGAAACAATGTGAGTTTTTGTTGAACCTAAATAGATAGGTTCTTGAACTCTATCATCGTTAAGGTGAACACCGTACTGTGCCTGTAAATATTCAGTATAACGCAAACCGGAAACATTTACCAATTCTTTCCAATGTTGTAACTGTTTAGCAAGACGTAAATCCGAAATATCAAAAGTACCAGCGCGACTTAAATCTGCTACTAACTGTCTAGGCATTTGCCTATTTGCAAACAATTCTTTTGAATATTTCAAAGTATTGCCTGTATGTTCAAATACATCAGAATCATTAACTCCGAAAATACCAAGATAAGAACTAAGGTCACCGCCAAACTGATTAGCAAGACCAACGGCACCGCCTAAATAAGTAGACACATAAGTAGACGGATTTTGTGAATCGTAACGCGAATCAGGCATAGCACCGATAAAAGATGGAGTTGGAACACCGTTTTTCCACATACCGCCAACAATAGCACCTTCAAAATCGTTAGGCTTATTACCGTTATTATAACCATTTCCAGCAAAAAAAGCAGAATTGAGACTAGGAGTAGATGTAGCAGTTTCAACAAAAGTTGTAGCGGAAACACCGTGGCCGTAACTAGCCGGAGAATCCAAACTATTAGTTAAAATAACTGTATTACCACCGGATTCAAAAATACCTTCCTGTGTACGCTGGTGCTGACCTACAGAATCTCCCATAGTACCTTTAAGAACCGGAGTAGGACTAATATATTCTGCAAGACCTGAACCGGTCTGACGCAAAAAGTCAGTGATAGGGGCAAAGCCTGAAAGCGGCAGTGCAACAGGGTCACCAAACTGTGCAGAAAGGTTAGCAGATGTAAAATAGTCTTTTTCCCAACGAACACGGAAAAGTGATTCATCAGTCAAATCTCTAGGTTTATCAAGTTTTTCATCACGGAAATAATGATTGAAAATCATGTTAAGACCACGTCTAGGAAAGTCAACCGGAGCAGAATCTTTAGGATATTTACCAACATAACCAAGAATAAAATCTCCAATAGAGTTTTTTTCAATAGTATGTGTAGTAGTATCATCAGAATCTGTCCAATGAGGAATACAAATATTATCAGAATCCTTAAGTGGACGTGCAAGACCTGTAACAGGGTCAGAAATACACTGTTTAAGAAAGTTTTCCCATTTATCCCAAGTAATTCTATTTGGAACAAAGAAATAATAACATTTTGCGACAACATCGTCCATAAAAGGAGCGACCATAGGAGCAAACTGAACATTGAAAAGATTAGAAATCTTGACAATATCACCGGGGACAAACTCGTCACACATTACCGGATAACATACACCAAGTTTACCGCTAAACTTTTTGTCATACGACAAATTGTGTTTACTACGTCTTATTTTCGCAGTAGGAACACCTAAAGGCATCATAAATAAAACCTCCAAAAATAAAATATTCCCCCTTGAATAAGGGGGCAATTTTTTTTACTTAAGTACAATACAAAAACCGGAAACAAGAAACATATCAAACTTGTCAACCTTTTTTCTTACTCATTAAAAAAGCTCCTTAGAATCATCAGCAGATTCTTTAATAGATTTTAAATCATCATTACAAACAAAATAAGGTTTAAAAACAACATATTCAACAACACCAAAACAAACAGAACCATAACCAACTTTAGAATCATTTTCAAAAACAAGGAGATAAAGTCCATTACCAATATTACGAAGTGTAAAATCAGAATGAACAGAACCGTCTTTAATATAAGTCCAAAGTGCGTTCAAATGTGTTTTAGAGGTTAATGGAATAGTGCCTGGAACAAATTCCAAATTAGATAACCAAGTCCGCAAAAAATTATTAGTGGGTAAAATGCTTGAATCATTCATTTGTCACCTCTTCATCAACAGAATTAGAAATAGATTGAGAACAAACAAGAATTGCTCTCTGTGGGTTAATCTGTAAAACGTTATCATCACGGCAAAGTTCAGCTACACGATACAATTCAAAATCGTCAGGGTCAAACATATGGTCGTCCTGATGTTTTTTAGTCTGTGCGTCAATAAAAGAGTTATACCAACGGCAAGCAATTTTGTCGTTTGACATTTCCAACAAATCGCCATAATTCTGTGTAACTTTGTTATAAAGTGAATAAACTTTAGAAATCATTTTTTCAAACCTCTTAATAAATCAATATCACGTTGTGAACGTGCATTTACTGTTAAACTTTCATAAAGTGAATCAAAACTACCTAAACTCATACCGATATGGAATAACATTTCATCAGTCAAAGTAGGGTCAAGTGTCTTAATATCCTCAATCCGTTGCAAAAACAACTTGCGTTTAGTGTCATTTTTGACAGATTCCAATTCCGGAAATTTCTTATAATAATAAGAAGGAATCGGGACAGAAAAGCCATTAAAAGCAATAGAGCCATTAGATAACATCTGTTTAAGTAATGTCGGGTTACCTTTAACACCTTTAAAACCAATTCCGTTAGAAACACGTTGAAAAGGCGGAAGAAGATTCAATTTTGCATATTTCTTTTCGTCCTTTAATTTCTTTTGAACGTAGCCACAAACATACATGATAGAACCAACTTCAACCTGTTCATACGCACCAAGGTCAAATTGATTGGGTTGACAAAGTCGCCAACTATCAATTACAGTTTCCTTGTCTAATTTACTAAAAGGGTCAAGACCAAAAACAATAGCGTGGAAGTGTGGCCTAAGTCGCTCATCGCCATATTCTGCCGACGCGAAGTAGGATATTTTCCGACCATTGAGATTTTTTCTCAACCGTTTCCAAAACTTTGTTAAATCCGAAGGTTGCAAGTTTCCGTCTTTGGGCAAATGTTCGTCATCATACGTCAGTGTTAAAAAAACCGCTTTATTATCCCAAAAGCTTAAATCATGCAATATCCGGATAGTCCAAGAAAGTGTGTTACTTTTTTTACAAGCTAAACAGCGGCGGCAAGCAAAATAATGTGTTACACCTTCCAACTTTACAGATACAGGCCTTGTACAGACCAACTAAGAAAGCCGAATACCGTTCCGGCTAAGAGCAAGAAATGTGGCTCGTTTACGATGTCTACTCAACTAATCCTCCGAATTATCTATTTTTTCGCTAAGAGCGTTAATACAAACGCTAACAAGACTTGAAATACAACCAAGAACCAACTTAACAACAACCTTGAGAGTTTCACTCATAAAACACCACCTTGGAATAAATATTATCAGGAAGAAAATAAAAAATCCGCTGCAAAGTTTTCATTTAACCTCCTGATAATCCAAAAATAAACCATAAATAAAAGATTGTCAATACTTTTTTTTATTTTTTTCTAAAAAAGTTTACAACTTTTTTTACGCGTTCCTTGTCCTGTCTATAGGCCTCTTTGAAGTAATTACCAGCAGACTGAATAGCGGCATTAAAATCGCCAGCAGTTTTACCAATAAAAGAGCTATTAGAAGATGTAGCAGTATTAATCTTTCTGTTAAGTTCGTACCACTTTTCTTTTATATCAGCCTCAAGTTTATCATTTGACAACTGTAATGACTTAATCCTAGTTTCATAGGTATTTTGCATTTGATAAAGTTCTTCCAAAGCTTTTGCAGTCTGTGCCTTAGTACTCTGTGTGTCAGCCAAAACTTTTTCACACTGTGCAACAAGTACGTTACAATTTTCTGTAATTTCAGCAATGCGAGCTTCATTCAAAGCAATAGACGAGGCATTACCGGATTGCAACCGTGATTCAGCCTGACGTTTCAAAGCCATGTCTAAATCGTCCATAGTTTCAGAAAAATCAAGATGTT